AAGAAGTCAGTCTCTGGTTTTATAGGAAGCTTTGTTAAAAGTTGATTAGAAGTCTTAGCATCGATCATTACATTGCATTCAAAATTACTGTCATTAAGTCAATGGCAATTTTAACGCTGTCCAAGTCATCACATAACTTGAATAATAAAAAATTTGATATGGAGCCAATCATTGTGATCGTCTACAAACTGGTCAGTAGATGATCATTAACTTCAGACAACGTCGAAATTATGTTTTACTGAACAGATATTGTGGATGACCAATACGTCTTTCTAAAGGTGCAATTTTTATGTCGTTCTACTACTAGTAATGATGTTCAGATGGCATACGTACTGTAAATAACAAGAAATAAATGATTGCCTGAATGCATTGATCAGTCTCGTGCTAGAGTGACGTCCTGGACGACTGTAAGTTCAACAATTAAAGACGGTGGTTGCCCACTACTCCCGAATGATATCTGTCAGTGATCGAAACTTCGCAAAGTGCTTCCCCAGTCTGAACGTGGATTGGATAAACGTTGATGTGACATAGGTAATAATTTATTAGGGCTGGAAAACCACATGCCAGAAGAATATTCGCAGACAGAATAAAATTTGTAAAGCAGATGCAGACGGACCAGTGACAAACTTAGTTAAGAGGCACTATTCGTTGGCATTGGCAGCGAGAAACAACTTATTTAAGCTTTGGAAAGATAAAGTGTTAGCTACAGAATATCTCCGTGGCTCTGGAGGTCTTGCATTCTGTACATCTTGCTCTATAGCTTAGAGATGGCGATACTTAACAATGGTGAAAACAGAAAATCGGATGCAACAAAAATAAGATTTCAAGATCAGTATTGAAGTGAATATCTGATATTTGATATGGTATCCAATGCTGTTGTTAAAAAGCTCAGAATATTCCAGTAAGATGACCAACTGGCTGCAAACAAGGCTCTTTACAGAGTGGAGTCATTGTCGCCGTCATGAACGATAGCCGCCTTGCGAGGCGAGTACTGAAGATGAAGCATGACGGTAAATGACCGCCAGAAATACCTCTAGCAAGATTGGAAGACTCTGTTTGGACTGACTTTCCATCGAAAGAATTGAAAAATCAGTGCGCATTCCTTCGATTCACCTGGAATGTTCATGCAGCACCAAGGGTCCTCTTCGAGGCAACTGCATATGAGAAAGACAAAGATAACGAACATTCGTGTATTTCAAATATGTCCGTTTACTGTAACAAATGGCTGGATCGTTTAGCGTGTTTTGTAGTAGCCCCATCGGCAGAATCAAATGTTTACAGTAAAAAGTGATGGAACCTCGGAGCCGGGTTGGGTATGGTTCTTCTTGATTTGCCGAATCGAGTCGCTCTTCCGGTAAGACCCTAATTT